CAGGATGCATGCTTTTTGTTCTTTGTTAAATTCCAACTAGCAAGGCTGCCTCAGAGAAGCCTGTAGGGAGCTGTTCCCCTGATGTTGGCACCTAGTTAGCTTCTGGCCTCAAGTCTCTCAGAGCTGGGCTCCCCCAAAATGTCTTGTCTCTGAAGCAACACCCCTTTGATCAATGATGTCCCTTTGCCCAGTGATGACCCCCACTTTGCCTGTCAATAACCCTGTCTCTATCCCTCACCAGCCCAGAGGAAGGAGTTTGTTCCTCTAAGCCTGCCTTCCCTTCAAGTCTTAGCTCAAGCTCACCTTTTATTAAACGATGTTTTTTGATGTGGACCATTCTTAAAGTCTTTATTGAATCTGTTACAAGATTGCTTCTGTTTTATGTTTTAGTTTTTTGGCCCCGAGGCAGGTGGGATCTTAACTCCCTGCCAGGGATCGAACCCTCACCCCCTGCATTGGAAGGTGAAGTCTTAACCACTGGACCACCAGGGAAGTCCCTCAAGCTCACATTCTTTCCAGAGCCTCCTCGAGGCTTCTCGACCCCCAACTCTTTTCAGGTGCTACACCTTTGCCTCTGGCACCTATTCCATACTCAGCTCATAGAATCACAGACTCTTGCGACACAAGGCAATTTGCCTTCTCTCTTCTGACCCATGGCCTTGATCAGTATTTATCTCTTTGTCTCCCCTCCCAAACTAGACCTCAAGAAGTCTTCCATCCTGGAGCCCCCACCCATGGGAGGCAGCATTCCAAAAATGGAGCTGACCATAGAGTTGCTCTGAAATTACCCTGTGTCACTCAGTATTTGCCTGTGTATCTCTCTGGCCAGACTGAGTCTATCCAAGGGCAGGGGCCACCTCTGCCCCCGGGTGGGGGCTGGTACCTGCCTTTCTCATAATCTGCTCACTACCCCGGTCCCTGAGTTTCCCCTAACTGCTCACCCATGGCTGGGCAAGTAGGATGGCTCTGTCCTGTTTAGGGCATCATCTCCCTGCCTGACTCACCCTCCTGCCCAAAGGTATGCCTTTGGGACTGCAGGGCATATGTACACGTGCATGGGCGCGGTGCTGATAGACACAGCCCCTGAGTTCAGCATCAGTAATGCATTTTATACCCTGAAAGCTGCTATAAACTTTATTTATGACACAGCTGACATGTCTGAATTGGCTCCCAAATCCACCACCAAGCATGTGGTGATTGGTGAGCCTGTCACTTAGCCCACTTTTCTCTCTGTCTGTTAATAATAGATGCTTCTTACAGCCTCAGCTTGACAGCTTGATTTAAAAGTCATCTTAAACCAGAGAGACTAATGGATGGGTCTGAATGTGTGCCTTTTAAAGCACAAAGCTTTGCTCTTAATTAACTGGATTCTGTCCTTTGATTGGAACAGGCTCTCCCCTCCTCGCATGATTAACTACCCACATTTGCGCCCAGAGCAAATCTCAGGTGTGTTACCTGAACACTCAGGAGGCAGCGAGAGCCACCTGGTTACACGGCGCATGCGTGTTTGGGGTTGTCTGGTGGGTGTGAGATGCCCAGAGAGATGGTTCCGGTTCCATCTCTCCCCACTTGAGAGACGAGCATTCTTCCATCCAGTCCACCATTCAGAGTGGAAAAGGAGCCTTCCCTGTCCCGCACACGCCCACTCCTAGTCTGCAAATATGTGTGTGGTATGAGAGCTCCTCCATGGGCCATCATCAGTGTGGTTTATGGGTCAGACTCTGCTCCTGCAGTCACTTCCTCCCTCTAGCACAGACCACGGTGCATTTTACTACTTCTGTCTCTGTGCTTCTCCAATGGACAGTGCAGAGGGTGGGGCCATGGAAGGACCAGAGCTGTGCGGAGAAGCCTCCTCCACCTCTGCCCTGGTCTCCAACTCCATTCCCTTTGGGAAGGTGGTGGGTGCTGACAGGGGAGAGAGAAGGGAGGAGGGGCCCCGCGGGGCACGTGGGGAGGATGTGGCCACTACACTGGGGCATCCTTATGCACAGTCGGACAGAGCAGGCCCTGTGGGCTTTTGTTCCCTTTAACTTGAGTCAAAAGGAAGGTGACACCATGAAATAGAAAGCACTCTTTGGGATATTCCTGATGGTCCAGTGGTTACGACTCCATGCTTTCACTTCAGTGGGGTTCGAGTTCGGTCCCTGGTCCGGGAGCTAAGATCCTGGATGCCACACAGCATGGCCAAAAAAAAGAAAGAAAGAAAAATCGAAAGTGTTCTGGAGGCCAGCAAACCTGATTCACACCCTGGCTCCACCACTTTACCAGCTGAACCCTTAGATACCGCCTTAACCTCCTGGAGGTTCAGAGCCGTTGGCGGCACGCGGGGGCTGTCAGTGCTGACCTGGCCCGAGGGTGGGGGAGACCATGTGATGGTCCATGCCACAGGGCCTGGTATGATACCTGCCACGTGGCAGGTACGCCATCCATGTCCATTTCTTTCCTCCCTTTTCCCAAAATCAAGTTGTTATGAATGTGCTGGTCCACATTAATGAGCAGACTTACAAAAATTAACTGGTAATTTTCTGTTTGCTTCAGTAACAAACTACCACAGACTTAGTGGCTTAAACTAGGTTATTTTATCTGACAGTTATTTTATCTGTCAGATAAATATAAACACAGTTATTTTATCTGACAGTTGTAGAGGTGTCAGAGGTCTGACAGGAGTGTTACGGGGCTAAAATCAAGGTGATGGCAGGCTGCATTTCTTTCTGGAGGGTTTAGGGCTGAATTTCTTGCCTTTTCCAACTTCCTTGGCTCATGGTCCCATCCATCTTCAAAGTCAACTTGACTGGTTGTCTCAAGTCCCATAACTCTGACACCACTTCCCTACCTCCATCTTTCACATGGGCCCTTGTGATTACATTGGACCCACCTAGATAATCCAGAATAATCTTAAAGTCAATTGATTAGCAACCTTAATCCCATCTGCAACCTTAATCCTACATAAAGTAACAAGGAGATTAGGATGTGGATATGGATCTTTAAGATGCCTTTATTCTGTCTAACATGTTAACTAAATGCAAACACATATTTTTACTTAATAGAAGATTACTAATCTTTTTCAACAAGATCTGGAAGAGATGGGATAAATATTTAAATTAAGATGCAAGTAATCTGAGTTATATCTGTAATATCCTTAGTTTCATTGCACTTTTTTAAAACTAGATTTTCCTAAATAAAATCAGATTCTTTGCAGCCCTTTTGCAGTATCCCATCTTGTATTCTTTCACCTAGAACAATCACTGGCTTACGGTGCTTAGACATTCTTTGTGCCTGGAATATTGCTTATCAATCAACATTTCATGGCTTGCTGGAAAATATTGTCTGAACAATAAGCCACAGGATGAAAAGGAAAGCACAGTGCTCTTTAATTGCAAATGGTCTTTTACAAGGAGGTTTCTAATTACTTTTGCTTTTTCTCTCGAGCTGAGAAATTGAAGTGTTGGTGACAGAGAATCATATGATGTGGCTTCATCCTGAGCGTCCTTGGACCTTGTCACAGGGCAGGGATACCCACTCCCAAAATGTCCCTGGGGCCACACCTGAAGAGAGCCCTGGATTTCATGCACAGCCTGCATTGACAAGGATTCCTCTGAGTATGTTTCAGACTCTGGTGTCCTTTTTTTTCTTCCGTGGAAAGAGGAGTTCATTGATCTTTACTCTGTTCTCAGTGAACTCATTTTCTTGTATATTTGTTCATCCTGTGTGTAACTTGAAGGAATCAGACTATTTTTCTCCTCCCCAAAAGGTGGCTCAGTAGTAAAAGAATCCATCTGCCAACGCAGGAGATGCCTGTTCAATCCCTAGGTCAGGAAGATCCCCTAGAAGGGGAAATGGCAACCCCCTCCAGTATTCTTACCTGGAGAATTCCATGGACAGAGGAGCCTGGCGGGATACACTCCATGGGGTCACAAAGAGTTGGACTTAACCAAGCGACTGAGCACACAGGACCAGAAGCACAGATGAGATGTCCTAGAACTGTAGTAGGGACTCTCAGAGAACAGAGAGTAGAAAAACCTATGAAAAGGGATAAAGATGGCCTCTAGACCACAAGTTCCTAATTTAATGGCAAAAACATCGTGGTATTTTCTAAGTAAGCAGAACTGCACTTGACCTGTATTATCAAATGCATGGATCTGATGCTTGGAAAACAGTGTTTCTGCCTTACTTGGGGTGTCTTCAGTGAAATGTGCTAAGACAGGTTTGAATCCTGGCTTCACCCCTGACTGAATGTGTGACTTAGAGCAAGTTAACTTCACCTCTCTGTGCTAGTGGGGGCTCTCTCTTTCTCTTCTGGCTGCGCTGGGTCTTTGTTGTTGCTCATGGGCTTTCTCCAGTTGCAGCAAGCAGGGGCTGCTCTTCAATTGCAGTGTGCTGGCGTCTCATCGCAGCAGTTTCTCTTGCTGCAGAACATGGGCTCTAGAGCTCGAGGGTTCAGTAGTTGTGGCCCATGGGCTTAGTTGCTCTGTGTCATGTGGGATCTTCCTGGACCGGGGATCAAACCTGCATCCCCTGCTTTGGTAAACAGATTCTTAACCACTGAACCACTAGGGAAGCCCCTGTGAGGCTCTTTCTTTAAGGTCCATTCCAAGCTTAGAATCCAGGATTCTGTGATTCTAACCTAGTCAAGCAGCGACCCCCAGACAGATGCCTGAAGAACAAGTCTGTTTGGGAGGCAGGAGGAGAAGGAACCAGAGTAGGACAGACCTTGATGACAAAGATGACAAACTCAAGGTCATTCCTGGTTAACTATCACCCTGTGGACACGGCAGTTATAACTCATTTAATTTGGTCCCTTGAGGTTTACAAAGAGGGGAGGGAATTTGAGTCTCTTCCCCCATCACAGAGGAATATGCTCTTCAGTGAGGTGTGAGGGATAGTTATCCAGGGAGCTGGGGTGGCCTACGCAAGAGAGCAGGTCAACTCTCAGATTTGCAACTGACTATGAGCTGGGGAAGTGTCATCTATTCATGTTGTCTCCTCCTCCATCCCACCAGGACCCTCTTCCTGCCCCCACACTCCTTGGTTCAGCAGCATCACTAGGGCCTTCCTCCTGCCAGGTACGAGGCCAGGTGCTGAAGACATGATGGTGGAGGGGGTGGCTATGGCCCGTCCATCCTAGAGCATCAGCATCCCAGAGGATGACAGCACCAGGTGAATGTTTGTGAGGGGCGCCCGTGAAGGAGTTTGGCAGAGTCCGGAAGGGCTTCTAGAAGCGACGACTGCTTTGATGGAGCCCGAACCTTGAGTAGGAGTTAGCCAGGCAAAGGGGAAGAGGTGCAGAAGGGAGGACTTTCCTGACAGGGAGACCAGCTGGAGCAAAGGCCTGAGGGTGAGAGCGTGCAGCGCTTAGGGTTGCACGTGGAGGGCTTTCAGTCCATCCACTGGGGAAGATACATTGAGCACAGACTCCGTGCTGAGCTCTGCGCTACGTACTGAGTGGTTTGTGCTCAGTCGCTCCGTCGTCTCTGATTCTTTGCCACCCCGTGGACTGTAGCCCACCAGGCTCCTCCGACTACGGGATTTCCCAGGCAAGAATACTGGAGTGGGATGCCATTTCCTCCTCCAGGGAATCTTCCCAACCCAGGGATTGAACCCGAGTCTCCTGCATCTCCTGCATTGGCAGGTGGACTGTTTACCACTGAGACACTGGGGAAAGCCCACTGAATTGTTTACAGTGGTTTAAAAAAAATAAGTGCAGGAGTCTCCACCCGCCAGGAGCTTTCATTCTAATGGGGAGACTAAATGGGTACAATTAGAGTATGTACAGGTACAACAGGAAAGACCAGCCCAAATTGGGGAAGGTACATTGAGCACAGACTCCGTGCTGAGCTCTGCGCTACGTACTGAGTGGTTTGTGCTCAGTCGCTCCGTCGTGTCTGATTCTTTGCCACCCCGTGGACTGTAGCCCACCAGGCTCCTCTGACTACGGGATTTCCCAGGCAAGAATACTGGAGTGGGATGCCATTTCCTCCTCCAGGGATCTTCCCAACCCAGGGAGTGAACCCGAGTCTCCTGCATCTCCTGCATTGGCAGGTGGACTGTTTACCACTGAGACACTGGGGAAAGACCGCTGAATTGTTTACAGTGGTTTAAAAAAAATAAGTACAGGAGTCTCCACCCGCCAGGAGCTTTCATTCTAATGGGGAGACTAAATGGGTACAATTAGAGTATGTACAGGTACAACAGGAAAGACCAGCCCAAATGTTGAGTGGAAGGAGGCCAGGTAGGTAATAGACTCCTACCCATGTCTTGAGAACGCATGTTTCCAGCCTAATCTCAGGGGTGAGGTCAGGGAGATGTGTGTGGTGAATTCTTTGCAAGTGAGGGAGTTGTGGTATTTCTGTTTCCCCAAGGCACCTAGTGTATGTGTGTGTGTGTGAGAGAGAGAGAGAGAGACAGAGAGAAAGCCCTGCCTGCCTCATCCTCTGCTCACCCTGAGCTTTGCAGGAATGGGATGGTGAATGCTGCCTGGGCTCGTTGACCTGGAGGGGCCCCTCAGATACCTACTCTCCATCTCTCTAGCACAACAGCCTCCCCAGGCAAGCAATTCATTTTCCCACTCTTTTTTTTTTTTAAGATTTTTTTTTAAAAATATGGACCATTTTAGAAATCTTTATTGAATTTGTTACAATACTACTTCTGTTTTATGTTTTGGTTTGTTGGCTATGAGGCATGTGGGGTCTTAGCTCCTCGACCAGGGATTGAATCCTCACCCCCTGCATTAGAAGACAAAGTCTTAACCACTGGACTGCCAGGGAAGTTCATTTTTTCTCTTTCTGCTGTGTATTTACAACTCTGGGTTTTAACAGGGAGGACTCTGCAGCTCCCCTGGGAAGATGTGTTGACCTCCCACCCCTGACAGTCTGCCTGCCCACCTGGGAAGGGGCCCTTTGGACAAGCGCTTTCCCTGGCACGCCTCTTCATCCATAACCCCTCATTCTATGGAGACTAGAACCATTGAAAGTCACTCAGTCATGTCTGACTTTTTGCCCATGGAATTCTCTAGGCCAGAATACTGCAGTGGGTAGCATTTCCCTTCTCCAGGGGATCTTCCCAACTCAGGGATCGAACCCAGGTCTCCCACGTTGCAGGTGGATTCTTTACCAGCTGAGTCACAAGGGAAGCCCAGGGAAAGGCTACCCACTCCAGTACTCTGGCCTGGAGAATTCCATGGACTGTATAGTCCATGGGGTCACAAAGAGTCGGACACGACTGAGCAACTTACACTTTCATGACCATTGAATGGTGGGGGGGAGGTTGTTGCCCACCAGAAGGTAAAGCTTCTCAGACCATACAGACACTGCAAAGCCACCTTCATGGTTTATCCCAGGCTCCCCCAGGGGGTTAGATTTGGGCCAAAGCTGGATGTCTCAGCAGCGAGAAGGTTTGTGCACACGCTGCTTCATTTTGGCCGTTCCTCAGGGAGAACCACTTGCTACCACGGGGGAACCACGGGTAGAGGGCCCTACTCCTTACAGGAAGGTTAGAGGGCAAATGTATTTTTATATTTAGCAAAAGAAAATAAATTTGACTTTGAACCTCTTCTGTAATGTTTTGAAAACATCTTTATTGAGATGATGTTTCACATACCATAAAAACCACCCATTTAAAGTTACAATGCAGTGGGTTTTAGTATTCCTGTATGGTTTCGATTTTGATGGTAATTTATGAGACACTAAGAGACCCAGGAGCAACTCAGAAGAGGGCGGGGCGACAGCTCCGAGTCTGCTCTGTTCTCTGCTTCATGACTGGCAGGCCTGCAGGGGCCCCTGGGCTTCCGCCCCCAGGTGTAGTGTTTTCTCCTTTTCCAAGAAGGAATTTGTTTCTAAATTCTTAGTTCTTTCTCGCCAGCCTTTTCTCTCTCATATGCTCGCTCTGTCTGTCTTCCCTCCCTGACTGTAATTTCTATTTCTGAACAGAAATGATGTCCCGGGCTTTCTGTTGAATAATGGGTGTTTTGCAACCAACCAAGGCTGCCTGTGCTTTTTCTGAAATAAATACTTGGGGGGTCCAGGGCTTAAATATGTGACCTTGGTCTCGTTGCCTGTTTCTCCCCGATCTGAATTTCTCATGTGTCCATTTTAGTTGATCCAGATATGTGTACGCCTGGATTGGCTCTGGTTCCAAAGCTGTGTTGAAATTCTTTCTTTCAAGGTCATTTCTTGCATACAACTTTCTGTTTTCCACTGTACTCCACTTTGTCAAGCACATTTATCCAAATGAGAGAGCATGCCCCAGGGTCCCATGCTGGGTAATAGTTTCATTTTCTTATTTTAATTTCAATGAGAAGTTTTATTGACAAATATTGAAACTACTTTCCCAAACTTAATAGGTGTGGCAAAATTGCCTGGTTTCCCCCTTTATCTAAAGAGCCTTTGTTTTTGTATTCTTATGTAGCTATGGACAGTTACACATTGTATTTGGGAGTTACATTTTCTAGGGCTTGTAAGGCTGTAACTTCAGCTTTGCTGGGGCTCCTCACCTCCCTGCTTCTCTAGATCTCCTTTGGAACAAGGTAGATGAAAATACAGGCTTCCCCAGGTGTCTCAGCAGTAAAGACTCTGCCTGCCAATGCAGGAGACACAGGTTCAATCCCTGGGTCGGGAAAATCCACTGGAGATGGAAATGGCAACCCACTCCAGTATTCTTGCCTGGGAAATCACATGGTCAGAGGAGCCTGGTGGGCTACAGTCCACGGAGTCGCAAAGAATCAGACTCAACTTAGTGACTAAACAACAGCAGATGTTAATACATCAACAACTACAGCTCCCCAATGTGTTCAGGTGTGTCACTAGATCTCAGAGAATTATGCTTGTGATAGGCAAGGGTTTGTGGCAGAGTGCTGTGTCCAGGTGTCCCTGGCTCTCTGCATTAAATGTGTACCTGAAAGACTGCATGTCAGCTGCTAGCGAAGCCTGTCTCTTTGTGTGATGACTTTGCTTCCAGTGTGTGAAGCTTCCCCATCCAGGGGCCTCCACTGGCTCTGTAGGCCTTCCCCAGTGCCCCCCATCCCCTCATCAGGCACCTCTGGTGGTGGTTCTCTGGTCCCAGGTAAGAACACCCCCACACAGTGTCCCCCGAGGCAGCCTCTGACTTTGTGATTGATCACAGACATGATTGATTACCTCACACTGATGCCTAGAACCAGTGTTAAGCCTCTTATTCACCTTGAGCCCCCAGCCATGCCGGTGGCTACAGGCAGTTTGTGATTTGTGAATAAAAGGGGCAGCACAGGGACTTCTCTGGTGGTCCAGTGGCTAAGATTCCTCACTCCCAATGCAGGGGGCCTGGGTTCAATTCCTGATCAGGGAACTCGATCCCACAAGCTGCAACTAAGACCTGGCACAACCACATAAATAAATAAATTTTTAAAAAATAATAATTATTTTTTAAAAGGAGCAGCACACTGTGGGACAAACCCTTGACTTTGTCACAGGGTGCTTTGTTTTGCCAAAAGGAGAATATACTTTTTGCTTTTCATCAGATTTAAAACATAATACATGTCTAGAAAACAGTATAATAAAACCAAAATGTATACAACAACAAGAGAAAGCCTCCCTGATTCCATATCCCTTCCCAGAGCATATAATCCTTTACAATTTCTGGTTTGCACATAGGCATATCTGCGCTATTTTCTTGTTTATAAACGTTCTGTGCGTGCACATTTCCAAAACGACTTTATCCCACTGGTGATACAGGATGGAGTGTTCTCTATGCCAGCGTGTTTGTTTCTCCCCTGTCTGTCCTCCTCACACGGGGTCAGCGTCACACAGGGTGCCCTGGGACACAGTTTTGGCCCGGTCTCCAGGAGTCACGGGATCTGAGAGTGATCTCACTGGGCACACCATCTGCCCTGCCTGGCCAGAGGCTGCCTCGGGGACGGCCAAGGGGTCACCACGTGTTGTTGGATGTGAAGTGGGGTGGGGCTCTGAGCCCTGAGATGCTGTTTAGTCTGAACATGCAAACAGGATACAGGAAGGTTTGGCTCAGATAATAGGCGATAAGGTTGTCATGATAATAACCACCCCTGGGATTTCGATCATTTACTGTTAGCCAGTGATGGTCCTAAGCGCTTGATATAAATCAACTCGGTTAATCCCCATGTTTTAGAGATGAGGCAGCGGGGGCTCTGAGAAGCTGAATGACTTACCCAAGGTCACCCAGCTGGGAACCCAGACCGCCTGGCCCCAGTGTGTGGGTGCTCCCAGCCCCCACACTGCCCTGTTGCTAAGTCTGGCCCTGATGCCACGTGGGCACCTCTGTCAAGGGGGAGATTTCAGGGACAGTGTTCTTGACCTGGTGGCGTATCTTATGTGTGTTCAGAAGACACTGTTTATTTTCCGTCCTTCGAGCCGTGCTGAGTTCAGGTTGCTCATTACGGAGGGACAGTGCTGATTAGAGACAGTCTCGGCCATCCCTCTGTGCCCCGAGTTCTTCAGGGTGTGTCCTCAGACTCAAAAAATAGAAATGAAAACATCCTCAGAACTATCGCCTTCCTGTCCTCACTTCCTTACCCCTCCATTTCTTCTTGTTGTTCCATCTAATGAAGTGTTGTGGCAAAAAGAGCCAGTTTCTGGTCATTCCAGATGGCCTCTCAAACCCCGCCTGCCTCACTGCCAAGCCTGGTGAGGATGGTTCGTCTCTCCCTGCATCACCTCCCCAGCATCACCTCCCGCATCATCTCCTTGGCATCTCCCTCCCTCACCATCTCCTGTCTTCTCGTGCTCCACACGCCAGCGCTGGGAGGGGTAGAGAGCAGAGACTCCCCAGTTCTTCCTAACACCTTCATTCCATCACCTCCGAGACCCTCTGAGACCCTCAGTCTCCTCTTCTCCCGGGGCTGACCCAGAGCTGCCTTTCACACCTTCACACTGTTCCTCTTCCTCCTTCAGGGCAGAAGCATAAAGGCTCTTGTATTGACCCCAGTTTTTATCCCTTCAGGTTGGGCCTTCACTCCCCCAACCTCAAATATCTTCCCCTTGCTCAAAACCCACACGTCATGAAAACGGTACCGAACATCAGTCTAGAACATCACAGTTCAAATCCTCTCACGTGCATTTTTCCAGTGACCCTCACAGCCATCCTGTGACATAGGTGTCCTCATGCCCGGGTTACAAGTGAAGAATCTGTGGTTCAGAGAGGGCAAGTGACTGGCCCAGCATCAACCAGCCAGAGAGTGGTCCCTATTACACCTTGAACCCAGTGCTTTGGACTCTACACCACATGTTCTTTCTACCCCCATCCATCTGAACCGGGAACAAGGGTCCAGTTCCTCAAGGGAAGATATGGAGCCAGTGCCTACACCTTGGGGCTTCCCAGGTGGTTCAGTGATAAAGACTCCGCCTGCCAAGGCAGGAGATTCGGGTTCGATCCCGAGGTTGAGAAGATCGCCTGGAGGAGGAAATGACAACTCACTCCAGTATTCTTGCCTGGGAAATCCCATAGACAGAGAAGCCTGGCAGGTTACAGTCCACAGAGTCTCAAAGAGTTGGACACAACTTAGCAATTGAGCATGCACGTGCACACCCACACCTTGGTTTGAGCCCAAACCAAGGGCTCAAGGAATCCAGCCATTCATGCAGCTGACAAGCTGGACTTGGTGATTCCTCGAGGGGAGTTAGGGCTGAGCGGCCTCTAAAGGGGTTGCTGCAGGATCAGGAGACCCCGTTTCATGGGAGAGCGCCAGGGCCAAGGGGAAGCGAAGCCAGGAACCCTCCAAGTTCACCTTGGGCGCCAGATGGAGGGTGCCTCCCCAGCCCCTGCTGTGAGGGTGAAGCTGTGCTGTGCTCTCAAAGGGCCTTGAGAGAAGGCAGCCTAAGTGCTATTCATCAGCCCCAGGAATGGCTGATGAGGGGCAGGTGCTTCTGAGAATCCATAATGCTCTTTGGCAAATGGCCCGAGGTGCCTCTGAGAGGCCTCCCAGCACCTAATGTGCTGCTGAGGCAAAATCCTGACCTCAGGGGTCCATTCATCATCGGATATAGCCGTGTCCTCACATCTGTGACATCTCTCCACCCGGCGTTCTTTCCCAGCGACTTCCCATCCCTGAGCTGAGCTTCCCAGCAAATCACTGCACGCCAGACTCTGTCCCCAACTCTGGCATGACCTCTAAGTCTACTTGGGCCTCTCTGTGCCTCAGTTTCCCCGGCTGCAAAATGGGGCTAAGATGACTCATGCATGTGACAGAGATGTGGTTAGAATGACTCCTCTTACTTCACAGCTTTGGAGTGGGGCTTCGTGATTTATCAGTAAAGGTGTCCAAAGACCCACCCTGTGTCAGACTGGAGGCTGAGACTGCAGATTCAAAGGCATGACATGCCCTCCCTCAGCCTGGGCTACTGAGCATCAGTGTATAAGATGGGGAAAATAAGATAATAACATACCCTCCCTTCACATAGGTTGTTATGAGCACTAATGGGATATAATATGTGTTAACAGTATCCCATTAATAAATGGGAAGATTATGGGTGGCTAAAAAAAGGTGGGGGGAACTTCAAAGTCCCCCCCGCCCCAGCACTTTTTAAGTGTAATCTTCTGTTGGGTCGTGAACCACTTGCTGCATGTCAGAGCTGGAGGGCAGAGATACAACAGCAAAGCTAGAAATTGTATCCATTGGAGATCAACCAGAAATTAAGATAAAGCTTATTAACATCAGCATATTTATTAAGCAAATAAAGTAAGCTACAGAACTACTGGTATAATATGGTCTCATTTAGGGAAAATTATATGTGTGTATAGGAGAGGTGCTTGCAAGGAAGTTCCCTAGAATGTTAACAGTGGTTATTTTGCTTTCCTTTTTTCACGTTTTTGTATTTGACTTTTTAATAATGACTCTGGGGTTTCCTGGTGGCTCAGTGATAAAGAATCGGCCTGCAGTGCAGGAGACATAGGAGACATGGGTTCAATCCCTGGTTTGGGAAGATCCCCTGGAGGAGGGCATGCAACCCACTCCAGTATTCTTGCCTAGAGAATCCCATGGACAGAGGAGCCTGGAGGGCTACAGTCCATGGGGTTGCAAAGAGTCAGACATGGCTGAAGGGACTGAGTACAGCATAGCATGAGTCACTTTTATAAAACAATAAATTCTCTTCTCTCTCTCAATTAAGGGTGGCTTGCCCAAGGGGGGAAAAAGGCAGTTTTTTTTGCTCTGATTTTCTTGGCTTTGACATCAGAAGAGATTCCTTTTTATCCATTTGGTGCTCTGAGTTCAGGGGACTCACCTCAGAATGAAAGTGGTGACCAGGGCCTGGTGACTGGCAGCCCCTGAATGGGACAGGTGCAGAGGCCACCTCCACATGTGGCAGTGATGTCCTCATTGAAGGCTAACCGATCAGTAATTTATCCGAAAGGGGTTAGGAGGGAAAACTACTGCAGTTCTGAAAACAGGCCACGCAAGCATGCTGTATCACCCTAATAGACGCTCCAGAACTGTTTAGCTACACCAGCAGTTACAAAGGAGTGGAAAAAAAGAAAGCAGAAACCTTGAGCTTAAGACCAGAATTGTCCTCTCCAACACAATCTGTGGATTTTCTGAGTGGTGGACATGAGCCAGCTGACATCAGCCATGACACATCGTGTGTGCACGGCAGCACCACCTCCCCCCAGAAAGCAGCTTCATTCATGCTTTCGGACAATTGTTGATTGTTCTCTTTGGATTGAGGCCCAGGATTATTCCAGTTTCTTCTCACCAACCTAAGTCTTTCCTCTCTCTGGGCTCCTTCATCTTCTCTCCGCTTAATTTGGCAACTCTGCTTGAAATCCAGGAATTATCATTATCAGTATTATTGGTCAGATTTGGTTCTAGAACATTCTCTGGTACCCAGTGATGGGACGTGAACACAGCTCACACTTTAGAGTTCCTTTGAGGTTTGCCAGGCCCTATTCCCTCCAGCAAGTCTTCTGAGAACTTCACTGTGCTGTGGGGGTGCTGGATGCCACCTGTCTGCCGGGGGCGTGAGAGGAGGGGAGCGACACAGAGACGCAGCTCCCAGTTGGGACCAGCTGTCAGGGAAGAGCATCTGAAGCATCAGAGCTGCCACGTGCCAGCCCAGTGTTTACTTGAACCCCAGAGACTCTTTCTCTTTCTTTCATGCAGTTGGCTTCCCACTTCCTAAGCAGAGGGATTTCCTGCTGACCTGGAGCCCAGACTTCACCTCCCCCAAGGGGACTACTTGCCTGCCTTTCACTCATCTCAAATGTAAATATCTTAAAGCAAAACAGTTGGACCGTAAACATTAAAGAATAAAGTGTAGTGGGTTACTGGGTAGTCCAGTGGCTAAGACTCTGCGCTCCCAATGCAGGGGGCCTAGGTTCAATCCCTGGTCAGGGAACTAGATCCCATATGCTGCAACTAAAGATCCCATGTGCTGCTACTAAGATGTGGCATGGCCAAATAGATATGTTTTACAAAATAGAATGTAAATAAAAGAGAAAGTTTTCAAAAGAAAAGCTTTTGCTCAGTTGAGCAGATCCTGATGCTCCTAAAATGGGTTACCTCTATCACTGCTTGATTGAATCACTGTTGCCAGTTGGCTTCACAGAGTCTGATTCTGGGGCCAGACTGCTTGGCACCAGAGCCATGACTCCATTACACGTCTGCTGTGTAACCTTGGCCAAGTTCCTCAACCTCTCTGTGCCTCCGTTTCCCCACCTGCAGAGGTAGACGTAATAATAGAGGCAGTTGTGTGAATTAAGTGAGCCAATACTTGAAAATGCTTGAAACATGGCTCCTGTCATTATGAGGAATCCTGTTTTTCACCAGAACACACAGCAAATTCATGAAGGAGCAGAAAAGGGACCAGAGCAAAGGAATGAGGGGACGCAGGGGCCAAAAATAACCTTGGAGAACCAAGTTCATTTTAAGGTTATTTTTAGATTTCTCCCTACTTGATCTTCCACTATCTGAGAGCTCCATTTAGGGTGTTTGTTTTTTTATAACAGCTTTACCGAGATATGTCACATGCCATAAAATCCACCCTTTGAAATGTACAATTCAGGGACTTCAGTATAGTCCCAGAGTTGTCCAGTATCACTACTCTGGAATTCCAGTTGAGTTTTTTATCTGAGGGGGTCTAAGGGCGATCGTCCTTTTTCTGGACGGCGCTACCGGACCTGGGGGCAGTGATTCCGCTGAGTCACGGTGGCGGCCGGGGAGCCTGCGCTGCTGCCTCCCGGAGAATCTGGGCAGCCGGCTGGGCTGCTGCAAGCCGGCTCCGCGGCCCTGGCACGTGCTGCCCCCTAGCGAGGGCTGCCGCCCCGCCGGACACAGCCCACCCGGCGCCTCCAGGGAGGGGACTCTTGCACACAAGAAGCTCCTCCTGGGAGCGGACTGCAAAGACGGTGCATCCTGCATGGGGCCCGTGAGCCAGGGTGCCGGACCAGCCCCTGACACAGGCTTTTTTCCTTCCGTCCTCGACTCTTAACTTCATCCAGCCGGGACGAGATCATTTCCATGGGTAAGGCAGAGGAGAAAAGGGCTGTTTTTAAACTCTTGGTTGGGAAGGCAATAATATGATACAGTATCTGAAAGATGAGTTTAGCATCAGAAAATCAGAGTTCACATCCTATCCTACTCTGCCTCTTCCTAGCTGTGTGACGCTCAGCAGGTTCCTAAACCTCTCTGAGCCTGTTTCCTCATCCAGAAAGTGGGGAGAACAATTCCTCTCGTGGGACTATTGTATTACAGAGATTCCATTTCTCTCTCTCCCCTGTTTCCTCCCTTCTTCTGATGTCTCTGCGACTGGCTTATAGTCAGGACTCGAATAAACAGATGTTGTTCATATTCCAAAGCCAGCAACAGTGTCCACTGTTGCCCTGGCTTACTCGAGGAGCTTTCTAGAATCAGAATGCATTGCTGTGGGTAAGACGATTAGAAGGAATAGGAAGAATGGCAGTAGGCATAGGAAGGCTATTTGGTCTTCATCTCCTTCAGGGAGATACGGCCCCAGGTCAGCTGAAACCCGCAGACCCCTCGGAGAAATGGGTAGGAGCAAAGGCCTGGGGCCGAAGACAGAGAGCGGCATCTAAACTGCCAGAAATCTATCCTCCAGAGGGAAGTCAGGTCTCAGGCTGCCCTGGTGGTCTCAGGCAAGTCACTTAGGCTCTTGGGGACCTTTACCTGGCTGGGTTTTGCATCCTGCCCGTCTCACAGGTTTGTGGTGAGCCAAATGTTGTGTCCTGGGAAAGTGTCCAGGAAAATGGCAGGTGTACTTCAAATAGTGAGCAGGGTCTCCTGGTGATGCTGCAGAAGTCACCTCTGAGCTGGGCTGGGCGCCTGGGGTTCCGTCATCCACCTCTGAGTGACTCAGAGGGTGGCCTAGAATGATCAAAAACAAAGCTGCCTCTGCATCTAAGCAGAGCTCAGCACACAGAGCACATGAACTCTACCAAGTGGAAAATTGATCCATCTTACAGCGGGGAAAGCCCTGTTCCTCGGGATCAAAAGGGACCCGAGGTCTCACCTGCACATCCCTATGCTCCTGAGGGTCTCGGGGCCGGGGGAAGCCTTGGCAAAATGAGGAAGAAGTTGAAGTTTATTTGAGGGTCCTTGTCATCCCTCTCTTCCACCATCCCACCCCTTCCTGCCCTCACCTTTCCTCTCCCTCCACCCCGGTTTTACCATTATCAGACAAATGTCACACTAAAAAAAGCTCTATATTATCTTGTTTCCAAACTTAAAAGACCGTGGTAATCATTATTGGATACATGGATAAGCAAAATGTGGTGCATTCATACAATGAAATACCATTCGAGGAATGAAGTCCTGACACGTGCCTCAACACAAGTGAATCCTGAAGACATTATGCTAAGCAAAGGAAGCAAGACACAAAAGCCCACATATTAGGTGATTCCATTTATGTGTAATCTCCAAAACTGGTAAATCCACAGAGACAGAAAGTAGATTAGTGGTTGGCAGGGCATGGGGGGAGGAGGAGGATGAGGAAGTGCTTAATGGACACAGGGTTTCTTTCTGGGGTGATCAAAGTATTTCTGAACGAGATAGAGGTGATGGTTGCTCACTCTAAAATGATGACTTGTGCAGACTTCCATGGTGGTCTCCGTGGTCTTCCATGGTTAAGACTCCAAGCTTCTACTAGAGGGAGGTGCAGGTTCAATCCCTTAGTTCGGGGAACTAAGATGCACATGCTGCAAAGTGCGGCCACAGAGAAAAAAAGTAAAAATGACTTGTGTGTTGTGTGGATTTTATTTCAATCAGAAAAATTAAATAGACTAGATTGGGGTTTTCGTGGTGGCTCAGTAGTAAAGAATTCACCTGCTGATGCAGGAGACACGAACTGGATTCCTGGACCGGGACCAAAAAGCAACTAGGCCCGTGCACCATAACTATTGAGCCTGTGCTCTAGAGCCCGTGACCCGCAACTACTGAAGCCCGTCCGCCCTAGAGCCTGTCCTCTGCAACCGGACAAGCAACTGCAGTGAGAAGCCCATGCCCCGCAACTAGAGAGTAACTCCTGCTCGCCGCAACTTAGAGACAGGTCCACACAGCAACGAAGACCCAGCGCAGTCAAAATAATGAATTAATTATTTTTAAAAAGCAAGCACTGTGCCTCATTCACAGGAAGAGCTCAACAGATAGGTGCTTTAAAAAAAAAAAGTCTCAACCTAAAAGTTAAAAAAAAAAGAGTGGTTTGCAGCAGTCAGTCATGTCTGATTCAGGGGGTTCCTACCTCCTTGCGCCTACAGCCCCTTCCCCTCTCCTGTCTTCGCCTTTAGCCTCTCTTCACCTGCTCTGTCCCCTTTGTTCCTCTGTCACCCCCTCTCAGCCCTGCAGACACTTTTCTGCCTTTTCCTGACCTCCCCCACTGCCCCCAAGCTCCCACTGGGTTTAGGGGCTTGTGATTCTATAGGACCAGACACCATGAACAAACAAGCCCCTTCCCCATCACGGGCCTCAATTTACCAGCTACAGAATGACGTGGAGAGACTCCAGGACCCTCTGGTTCTTGCTCTCTATTGTCAGGTGGCCGTACTTTTCCAAGGGTCCCTAAAAAAGGGGCCCGTTTTCATTTCCTGGTCTAACTCAACTTTTGTGCCGCCGCTCTAAAATTTCTTCCTTCCCTTCCAACCCAGCGCCTCTGGGTCACTGCCTGGGAAAACAGAACGGAGGAGATCAGAGAGAATGAGAGAGATGGGTTGATTTAAAAGAATAAGAAAGCAGAGCACGGCCTTTGGACAACAGCTCTTGGCATGTTTACTTTCCTGTCTGCGCGTCTCTTAGATTATAGGGATCTGTGAGGGGGTGGTGACCACAGCTTGTCTGGGTTGTGTACCCACCTCAGAGTTATGCTTATTTTTGTCTTTTCAGTCTGCTGTCTTTGACGTGCAGTTGTGCCATTTGTCAGCTGGTTTATCTGTTCTTTGTCCAGTTCTCCCAGAGAAGTCATTCCCCTCCCCTGGGAGACACCAGGGATCAGTGACAGTGGGAAAGGAGGGAGGCAGGGCTGGGTGTACAGACCCTCAGCTGTACCAGGATGCCAGGGCCCCCCTGCCTATCAGCCAGACCTGGGCTAGAGAGACTCCTGCTGTCCTGTGACCGACCCTCCCAGGGCTTCCGAGATGGAGGACACAGGCCTGATCGATCCACTTAGAATAAAATGTTGGAGCAGGAAAGGAGCTCGGAGTCACTGGGTGACATGCAGGAGGCTAGGAGAAGTGACTAAGTCACAGCTTTGGGGTGTGAGCCCTGGAGAGTGCTGCTTCCACACCCCAGACCTGTGCTGCCACGATGGGAAACTGGGGGCCCTTTGATGGTCCTGGCTGGAAGAACCTGCAGTGAGGGCTGCCGAGTGTGCCGTCAGGACACAGGCTTTGCATCCTGCCATCGCTTCTTCCTGGCTGTGTCACCTTGGGTGGGTTACCTCCCAGATTCCTCATCTGTGCACAAGCGACCCAGACAGGTCCCACCCGATGGGACTTGCCTTCTCATGCTCAGCGTCTGTCCTGAGACTCAGAAGAGCTACTTCATTTTACTTTCAGAGAACATCCTCCTCTGGGTTCTATTTGCTGCTTATGTCGAGTAGCCTTTCACAGATGCTCTAGAACTCTGACTTGTCTTTTTTTTTCCCCCGGTTGTGCTGGGTGTTTGTTGTGGCACACAAGGTTCTCTCGTTGTGGCACGTGGGCTTCGTTGCCCTGAGGTGTGTGGTATCTCAGTTCCTAGTGCAAGTGAAAGTGTTA